ATGATTCAAGTTAAATACACAATGGTTTGAGTTAATTACACAATAGTACTTATACAGTATTATACCATAATACTGTTCTAGCTTACATACAAATTTGACTTAAGGCCAGGCCTTGGGAATGGAACTTGTTCTTAAACTGGGGAATACCTGTATATCATTAGAAATCAGAGCTTCTGGCACAAGTTTGCAGGCACTCTGAGCTCTAGCACAAGAAATGAACCACTGCCAACCCCTTACCTGCTTCCACTGCCTTGTTTCTTGCCATCTTCTCTTGTCTGTGAGGATGCCAAGTCTGCCCCTTCCAACCCAGAGTTACAGCCTTAAGTTAGTGGTGGAGCACGCACTTTGCATGCCAAAAGTCTCCGATCCACTTAAAGCCTGGTATCTCCTGATAAAAAGAGGAAAGAGTCTGTTGAGCAGGAAGAGCCATAGTCTGCTTAGGTGGATGTTACTGGGCTGGCTGGATTGGGCATAGGGCAGCTTTGTTATTCTTAAGAAGGAAGCAACGGTTCACTGTTGCTTTAAAAATTGCATACAAACTTCTCAACTAAACAATGAAACCTGCCATCCTCTATACCTGAAACTCATATTATTCCTGTTTGTAAGAGGATGATGGAAGCTGTGGCTCAACTCAGTGGAGGATGCAAAATTGGGGAAGGTGGAGGTATGACAGTATTCCAGTTAAAGTCCTGTAATTAAAATGGGACTTACTATGAATAAGGATGCAAGCTCAAACCCTTTCCCCTCCAAAGAAATAAAATGGAAATAAATTTATTGTGAGAGCCCATGGCTTAGATGCTCTGTGTGTGAGGCTTTGGCGGTAGAAGAGATGGTGTGCTCTTTGTCTGCTCTTGAAGCCCTACATTGCTGTGGCTACAAACTGGTTAGGATCTTAATGATTGCTATATTGAGAAAAAGGGGTCAAGCAGCCAGGAGATGTTCAACAATGAAAGGAAAGGGGATAACTTATCCAAAGCATCTGCGTTTTCTCTTAAATGTATTGTGATATTTGTCATTTGTCCAAGGGGAGACAATCCACAAATGTTCAATAAAACTGACTCTGTGGCTTTCAATGCCTGCCATGTGTGGAATTTGCTGGACTGCTCAGGGGAACTTTGGAAGGGAGGTGGAAGTGTTTGCTTTTATTCTGCAGTAGAAGGGGGTAATTTTAAGCTCTGGAGGTAACACTCTTAGAAAAGTACACCTTAGATTAAACTGGGACAGCCCACAAGCCGCATGTAACCTCTGGACCATTGCCTGCTTTTGCCTTGATGTGTATGTTGGGTAATAAGATTAAGAGAAGACAAGAAATATAAAATATCAACCTTTATATGTATTTCAAAATATACAAAAGAGAAAAATTAGGTATAAAATATATCTTCAACAATACATAAAAGTAACAACAAATAAATAACATAATACAAATATACCAAGACAGCAGGGAATTAAGCAGTGAGCCTAAAGGGAAAAATCAGA